TTTTGATTTGAAACCCCATAACATTTTCCTGAGATGTTGATTTATGACAAACATTTTTAAAATGAATCAGATTTAAATTATAATTACAAAATATTATCATATTTCCATAACGATGTACAATTTTATCACTAAATTAGTGTCAGCCATTTTTAAAAACCAAGGAGAGGGAGTGATCTCGGTGAAACATCCAATCATGTGGTGTCTCTGGAAAGCCCTGAATGTGCTCTGTACAGGACATCCAGACTTACAACTGTGACATGTGAGGTCTCAGAGAAACTCACTAAAATATAATGTCCACTACAGAGGCAAAAACTCCATAGCTGGGTCTCAGGAGGATATGGTACAAGATTATCCTATTTAAATCAATGTGATAAATGAGTTGGGTCAAAAGTAATCTAAAAGTAGTCCGATTATATTACCTAAAATGTTTGATGTAAAGGATTACGTTACAAACTGCGATTTTTGTCATGTAATTTGGAAACAGTAACGGACTACAATCTGTAAGTAATCTACCCACTTCTGAATATAATACATTTAATATGATAAAATATTATATTTATCACGACACCAAATATGTCTTATGAATTGAATCAGTTTTATCTCTGGGTTATGGGTTACAAGATAACAGGAATAACATAAACACATGCTATTATGCATGATTTTATAAGAGACAGCTATATATAGTATATGCATATGTAAATACAGTAAAAACAGTAATAATGTGAAATGTTTTTACAAATGAAATAAGCAATGTTAAGAAATATTTCTTGAGCAGCAAATCAGCATTTTAGACTGAGTAATGGCTGCTGATAATTCAGCTTTCTATCACAGGAATAGATTACATATTACAATATATTAACATAGAAAACAGCTATTTTAAATTGTAATAATATTTCACAATTTTACAGTTTTTACTGTATTTTTGATCAAATGAATGCAGCCTTGGTATATATACACGTGTGTGTGTGTGTGTGAGTGTGTGCGTGTGTTAGTGTGTGTGTGTGTGTGTGAGTGTGTGCATGTGTTAGTGTGTGTGTGTGAGAGATGTTAAGAAATATTTCTTGAGCAGCAAATCAGCATTTTAGACTGAGTAATGGCTGCTGATAATTCAGCTTTCTATCACAGGAATAGATTACATATTACAATATATTAACATAGAAAACAGCTATTTTAAATTGTAATAATATTTCACAATTTTACAGTTTTTACTGTATTTTTGATCAAATGAATGCAGCCTTGGTATATATACATGTGTGTGTGTGTGTGTGTGTGTGAGTGTGTGCGTGTGTTAGTGTGTGTGTGTGTGTGTGTGTGTGAGTGTGTGCATGTGTTAGTGTGTGTGTGTGAGAGAGTGTGTGTGTGTGTGTGTGTACCTGGTATTTATCACGTTATGTGGACTAAATGTCCCCACAAGGATAGTAATACTACTAAATTTTGACCTTGTGGGGACATTTTTGAGGTCCCCATGAGGAAACAAGCTTATAAATCATACAGAATGAAGTTTTTTAAAAACATAAAAATGCAGAAAGTCTCCTGTGAGGGGTAGGTTTAGGGGTAGGGTTGGTGTAGGGCAATAGAATATACGGTCTGTACAGTATAAAAACCATTACACCTATGGAGAGTCCCCACAAGGATAGCTGACCAGACATGTGTGTGAGTGTGTGAGTGTGTGTGTGTGTGTGTGTGTGTGTGTGTGTGTGTGTGTGTGTGTTAAAAGTTTACATGCATAAAGAAATGACTGAATCTTAAAATATGTGTAATTTATTGTTTGTATTGACAAGTATTGCATTGAAGTGCATTGTATTGTATGTTGTATGTTGTCCTGAATTGTACTGTGTTTTGCATTTTATATTATGTAACAGACATTAAACAGAGTTTGAAGTGCTACTTTAGTTAAAATGCCATATGTTCATCATGTTGGTATAAATGATGTTACAGTGAAACTACACTGCCACAGTGTGGCTACTTTGTGCTGCAGCACATGCTTGCATTTAATATGAGACATGCTGCTTCAGTTTTCTGAGATGCCTTATCAATCGTGAAAGAAGCACGTCTTTAACCAAGAATGCACAACATGTTGCGACAGATCTGATTGTTAAATATATACTTCAGTCAAAAGTCCTTTATGTGCAAACAGTTTGGAGATGCAGCATAGAAATGTGTGTTAACTTAGCATGCTGGGAACCATCTTTATGTAACTGTGATCTATATAACTTGCGTGTGTTTTGCTTCGTCTCAGGTATAAAATGCAGCAATCTTACACAAGCTATGCATTATTATATGAACTTAAGAAGTTTGCCATTGGATGGAAATAGCAGGAATTATATATACTTATACAGATTTATTTTTATGCAGACCTATACAAAATAAAGTCAGGCAATCAATGCATTTTTAATTTTTATGGATATTCAATATGAAATAGTTGCGAAGCAAAATTCATTTTTCTTTATTTCATACAGAATTGCACATCATGTTTGCGATTTCTCTTTTGGTATTACATTTTTTTATTGTTAAATGTTACAGATTTATATTAAGGCACTTACTGTATGTACATTTATGAATATAGCCTAAAATTTTCAGTTTTTCAGTCGTTTCAGTGTCAGAATCACTGAAGGTGCAATTATTGTGATCAATATTAACTCTATGTCTAAGAAATTATGTTAGATACATGTTTTAAAAAATGCTTTGTTTTGCATGGACGCACGGCTGAAAACGGCCCAGCGTTCAGCCAATCAGAGTGTTTTAAATGATCGAACAGCACCAAAACGCAGCCAATCACAAGCGAGCAGGAACTCTCCGCCAATCACCGAGCGCTTCAGAAACCCACGTGACTGCGGCGTTGTTTACTCACAGAAGAGACTCGCAGGGAGGAGCTCGTGCTGCAAAGCGACTTTTCTAATCGATATCATGGCCACCGACATCGACAGATTAGTGTCGTTCGAGGAGGCGCATTACGATGAGTATGACTATTACAACCTGGAGGAGTACTCCTGCCATGCTGGAGGCAAAGGCAGAAGCAAGAAGGAGATCGAACTGAACACTAATCGCCACTGCCCGGCCGGACACGAGAGAAAAATAGCAGAAAAACTGCAAAACAGTGAGCTGAAGCGCAGGAGAACCAAGAGCTCTTCCTCCTGAGGTCAATGCATTGAGGTGAGGATGATGCACGTGCAGCTCCTCATGTGCATTCCTGTCTTTAATGCCATTTGCATTGCCACTTCAATGCATATCTGTATTCTACTGTGAATATTAATTTTTAATGCATTGTTATGCGTTACAGATTACTGGAGATGGATGAGTGAAACCGGATCGAGGTCCAAATGTCTGTTCTGCCCTTTCCCCACACACACTGAATGATGATATTGAGCTCGAGGCGCCTTAAACGCTCACTGACTTAAGAAATCAGATGTGTTCAGTTGAAGGAGGAGAAGAGACTTCTATACTGTTAGACAAATGATAATAAATACATTTGCATAATCCTCTTTGTGGTCTTTGTATTCTTTTAAGTTTTTAACAAGCATCTGGATATCCAGCTTTTTTGATCTGAACATGGGAATAAGTCGCAAGTATGTGATTTTCAAGGTTTTTAAGAAAAGATCAAATGAGTAAATATTGCCAAAATCATTTTATATTTAAGTGCCACTATGATATTCGCACCTTGGCGCTCCTTGGTTTATAGACCTTTTTCATGGAACGCGAAATTACCCATTATGCTTTGCGCGAACGCGTATGGAGGATGCTTCGAACTTCCGGTTGCAGCTTGACGCGTTTAGTTAGGCGTTACAGAGTTATTTGGACAGCTCTGAAACTTACTTTTAACGCTCATAATGCCAACAAGCAACGGCAACTTTAGTTCGCGGTGGCAGCACGTTCACATTACTGATGAAAATCGTTCCATGAAAAAGCTCTATAGTTTTTATTCCTCTGCTGGGCCTTTTTCACAATGGAGTCAATGTGAGTGTCCCACTTCCGGTCCTGAGAGATTGTGGTGCCCAGGAACCTGAATGACTCCACTGCAGTCACAGTGCTGTCCATGATGGTGAGTGGGGGGAGTGCAGAGGGGTTTCTCCTGAAGTCCACGGTCATCTCCACAGTTTTGAGCGTGTTGAGCTCCAGGTTGTTGAGACTGCACCAGACAGCCAGCTGCTCGACCTCCTGTCTGTAAGCAGACTCGTCACCGTCCTGAATGAGGCCGATGACTGTAGTGTCGTCTGCGAACTTCAGGAGCTTGACAGAGGGGTCTTTAGAGGTGCAGTCATTCGTGTAGAGAGAGAAGAGCAATCTTTATCTTTATCTTTTTTTCAAAGATAAAGACATGATTATGTCTTATTATTGTTAATATGGACACAGGTTTTATGACGTTAAATTTAATTTACTAAGTAAAGAATATTTAAGGAATAAAATGAGTGGAACACACACGATACGTCTAAATAGCTTCCGACACATCTCCATTACTTTTTAATAAAAAAATGTTTTAACAAAAAGTAGCTTGAATAGAATAGAATCTGCCTCTAAACACCATCAATTAACTGTTATACTGTACTTTTCACACTGCAAAAATGCTCTTCCTCTGTATGTATGTATGTCTTGGTTTATAGACCTTTTTCATGGAACGCGAAATTACCCATTATGCTTTGCGCGAACGCGTATGGAGGATGCTTCGAACTTCCGGTTGCAGCTTGACGCGTTTAGTTAGGCGTTACAGAGTTATTTGGACAGCTCTGAAACTTACTTTTAACGCTCATAATGCCAACAAGCAACGGCAACTTTAGTTCGCGGTGGCAGCACGTTCACAGTTCACATTACTGATGAAAATCGTTCCATGAAAAAGCTCTATAGTTTTTATTAAGGCGCTGTGCTGAATACATCGTGAATGAGCTGCTGAGTGAGAGACGTGGCTGTTGACCAATCAGCGCACAGACCCGCCTCCTCTAAACGTATGACTTCCCCGCTGCTGTAATAAACTCTTTCCTACTCTCCCTGTCTGCGGTGACGCTTGATCTCGGACGTTAAATCACGATTCCCATCAGGCTGTGTTTCTGACATTTCTTTCTCCTCGTTTCCAGCAACTGCTGGATGATTACCCCAAGTGTTTCATCGTGGAAGCAGACAATGTCGGCTCCAAGCAGATGCAGACCATCCGTCTGTCCCTGCGGGGCAAGGCCGTCGTGCTCATGGGCAAAAACACCATGATGAGGAAGGCCATCCGTGGCCATCTGGAAAACAACCCGTCTCTGGAGAGGTGCGTGTCTGTCCGGGCACAATGATGACCCACGGTAGACGAACTAAGGCTTTTAGAGTCTTTATAGTGTGAAATCTCTATAATGTTATAGATGACACCGCCCCGGCATCATATTGCTGAATGAAATCCAATTTCGTTAATAATTAGATGCTGATTCCAAAAACAGTGTCTGTTTTGCTCGATCAGTCACGCTTTCATCAATATATGATGCATTATGTAGCACTTTTGGCAACGATTGAGTTGAATTATCAAAAACACCACAAACACATGATTCCTGTCTGGATCTCGGACACATTACAACTATTTGCTCAACACTCAGCCCATTTTCACGTGTATGACTGATTCTGATTTCTGCATCTGTGGGTGTTTTACTACATGTAAACATGCAAGCTTTGAATGCTTATATCTTCTAAATGTGAATTGTCACTGTTTTGGAGCACACTCCTTTATAGATAACCTTAAGACTAACATTGATACTAGCACCCAAAAAAAACTTTTTGATTTCATGGGGTCTTTTAAAGTGAATCATTTGACGGTTTATTTTAAAAACTGCATTGAAACTGATGCATATAATTTTATTGATTTGAACGCCGCTTCATGAAATTGGATATTGGCTGTATTTTTGCAAATCAGGTTAATTTAAGATGCCGCCCTGTTATGAACTTCCTTCAATTTGACTCTATAAAATTGATTTGTGAATGCATGATTTCAACAGAAGGCCCTTGTAAACATTTAGTCCTTTATTCACTCATCAGGACGTTACAAAAGCGGTTTAATTAGATGCAGGATAAGTTATAGACCGGCTGTGTCAGTGCCGGTTTGTCGTTCCCCCTGCACAAATCAACCGGTTTCCTTCTATCCTTGTGTGTTTGCATCCCACAGCTCACAGGGACGCTTGGTCTCAGACATTCTGCGTCAGCCACATGTCTTAACTTTAGTTTTAATAGTTCCAGGTGAATGTTTATGATTGAATGATTAACTCCTGTGTTTTTGCAGGCTGCTTCCCCACATCCGTGGGAACGTCGGCTTCGTCTTCACCAAGGAGGATCTGACTGAGGTCAGGGACCTGCTGCTGGCAAATAAAGTGAGTATCACGGAGCGACTGTGTGGATGTCTGAGGCTCTTCAGGGCTTGAATGCATCTCTTCATGTAGCTGTTGTTGTGGTCTGTGATGGTAGGTGCCCGCTGCTGCCCGTGCCGGTGCCATCGCCCCGTGTGAGGTGACCGTCCCTGCTCAGAACACCGGGCTCGGTCCTGAGAAGACCTCCTTCTTCCAGGCTTTGGGAATCACCACCAAGATCTCCAGAGGAACCATTGAAATCTTGGTGAGTGGCAGGAATGGGCGATCGATCAAATCCGGTTTTCAATTGCAATTTTGGCTTCTAATGAATATGAAACTATTTAATCAAAAAATTAAATTTGATTTTTATTTGCCAATTTGATTTATTTTAAGACAATTAATACATTTTTTAAATTAGATTTTTTTTTAAAATGTTGATTTGTTTAGATTTTTATTTGCTAATTTAAATATTTTACAATTTAATTAGTTGTCTTTTAAAAAATTTTAGGAGTTTTGTATCTTTACAATATTTTATTTTAGAATGTATATTTGTTGTTTAAGATTACATTTTAATATTTTAATCAAGAAAAAACCCATTGTGCTTTTATTTATAAAATGGAGATTTGTGTATTAATAAACCTGAATTTATACATTTTATTTTCATTTGATATATATATATATATATGTGTGTGTGTATTTTTGACTTTAGTCAAGGAAAGCCAATTTTTTTTTTCCCCCCTCTCAATCAATGCATGTTCTTCCAGTCAATGAGTAATCAAATTAATAGTGATCTTAATATTAACCAAAATCTTGTTTTATAATTTTAAAATGTATTTTTAACCCCTTAACTGTCACCGGGTTTGTCATGAAAGCTTGAAGCCCAAGATTCATCCCGTCAAAACCATTTTGAAATTGGACATTGTTACCATGGAAATGGTACTTTAAGATCTTTTGGCGGTCTCCTCCCCCTTAGTGGGTGGTGTCAAGTGTCATATTACAATGCATTACGGTCTTTCAGAATCAAACCTTTTTAATAATCTTGACAAAAAACATATCATTGGAAAGGTCTGAGTCTCAGGATTCCATATATGGTGATTATTTTGAGAGTAATATTGACTATAGTGAAGTATAATAAAGTTGAGAAGTAATATTGACAGCGAAATCTAGACATTTGTGACAGAAAAATGCATTAATAAAATTCAATGGAGTTTGGATGGCACCCGGTGGCTGTTTGTGGTGTAACGCCCTAAATAAAATCTCAAAGGAATCAATTTTTTTTTCAGAACTTTAAATTTGAAAACTTTAGACAGAAGGCTTTAATTTTATACCAATTTTAGAGTAAAACCTGATATATATATTAGGGATGCACCGATATGAACATTGACCGATAACCGATTATTCTTTGTTTTTGAAAGCCGATAACCGATATGTTGGCCCATAAATCTATATCCAAATTCTTATATACTTTTTGAGAGCCTGATTACAAAAAAGGTCTCCATTTAAAAATCACATCCCAAACACTTCAACATAAGCAGCCTAGTTTGAACGGTGTACGTTTTAAAAATATTTTTACTCTGCCCGACCGGAAGCAGCGGAAGCAGTCGACTGTGGCATAATAAAAGCCCAGCTGCTTTACGCATGATCGGAAGCAGTCAACTGTGGCATAATAAAAGCTCCGCTGCTTTACGCATGATCGGAAGCAGTCGACTGTGGCATAATAAAAGCCCCGGTGCTTTACCCCACATACGCGCGACCGGAAGCAGTCGACTGTGGCATAATAAAAGCTCCACTGCTTTACCCCACATACG